AGCAGGGGAGTCATTTGGTTCGCCCACAATAGATAATTGGCGGAGGAGAGGCGGATGGGGATGAGATGGAGGAGAGTGTTCATGGAGAGGGTAGCATCTGTGGAGGAGCCTGCCATGGGGACAAGAAAGAAAGAAAAGAAACCACAGAAGAAGAAGAGAAGATCAGAGATGAGGAGGGAGAGGAAGGGAGGGGTCGATGGCTATGATACGATGTGATTATGAGTTTTCCACACCAAGAGGCATGGGGGTTACCTCATATATATAGTCAATAAAAAAACATATACACCCCTCAAGTATACAGCAAAGAATAAATGACTATACAAATAAATAGCTAGACTAATACCAAACCCAGTTCTAGTCCTAAATAACGTTCTTAAACATAAAGTTTCCAACTTTATGATCTTGCATGGCTATTAAGTGCCCAACACCAAAAACCCTAACTTAACCCAAGGCTTTAACCACTAAAGAGCATGCATGGAGGGAGATGAACAATCAAGATTCCATTTTTATAACTCAAGGCACTCTAAAATGTCCAAAAGGACAACTCATTTGGTCTAGAGTAGTCCATACTCACTTAGACCAAGAACATGGGACTAAAAGCACAAAATTTCACATCTACAAGATCTAATGAGATAATCCACAAGCTCAGAATTTTATACCATCTGGAGGTTGCTCAAGGGGTGAAAAACTCAGAGCTCAAAGCTTGGAGCTCCTTCCTTGCTATGAATTGGCTTTTTTCTTTCCACAATGGACACCAAATCACCAAAATAAGCTCAAAACACCACAAATGGAAATGTAGGTTTGTAAGGTACGAAGTGGGCAATGGAGGCTGATGAGGGGAAGGGATATTGGGAGTTAATGATGCTTAAATAGGGTCCAAACCCTAAAATTTAGGGTTTGAGTCTCAACCATGTACGCCCAACGTACGCAACAGGGGCGCGTTTCTCACTTAAGGCTCCTTGGGACCAAACAACTTCATATTAAGGGTCAAAAATGTAAATTACCAAGGTCTCCATTTGATCCATTAATTGTGCACAATCCTGAAATAAGAACTTCTCGAAACAGGATGTTACAACTCTTTCCACTTAAATTGGATTTCGTTCTCGAAATCACTCCTTACTACTCTCCAAACATACCGACAACTTGGACAATTCTTCCACAACCCCAATTCAAACTAAGAAGTCGACTCATACAGGCGACTGCCTTCCCATACTACAATCAAAACCTAATCTTAGAGGAATTTATTTACCCTGACTAATAATGAAGCCTTGACCCACTATCTTTAACCATTGAAGAAAATCATCACTACTCTGCCCGAAATCCGGAAATCCAATACCTTGTCTGACTATTCACTACTGTTAAACCCTCAACTCGAAAACAAGGCGACTCCCAACACGAGTCTCAACTAAATATAGTGAAACACGAACAACACCAACATATTCAACAAACTCCCTTTAACTATTTCGATAAGTGATAATTTGCTAAAGGTGTGATCCTATAGGATCATATGTTATTGGTAAACATCATTCTAATATGATTCTTGAGCATATAGATCCAACACGATCATGCTGAAAAAAAAGAGAAAAAACTAGCATCCTATATGGACACGTTATACATGTTCCATACTAGTGTTAAGTGTTCCTAATACGAATCTAACACACAAAAGGCGTAAACATGAACATTTACTTTAAGGAAATATTTTAATTAAAAAACTTACTACATTCCAAACTTGTTTAAATCGCTAATATGTTCCAAAAAAAACTTATTATAAAGAAAACTTACCAACACCACTACCATCTCTTCATCATCAAAAGTCATATTTTTCAAAAAATCAAGGTTCAAAATGTCACTCGTAGTACTAGTTTCTGCATATTCCGAAAATAGGCTACATTTCATATATTAGGGGCCACCGAATCGGTTCAAGTATCAAGCTAAAATCGGGTATGAAATACTCTATTTCAGACTAATTTTAGACATTTCAAAAAATAAATAAAATTTTCTTATATATTTTTACATTTAAAATGGTTCATTGAAGCAAAATCACCTAACTTAATCACATAAAGAATTATCAAAACGTGAGTCACTTATGTGTATATCATTTTATCAAATAAAGATATCTACCAAATGAAATAGTTAAAAAACACAAAGTTAAATATTTGAGGACATCCACAATCCATTAAACTCTATAGAGTTCAATGGATTGCCATATGATCCATCAAACACATATACAACAACACACATAACCCATTAAACACCTATTTAATCTTAATCACCACTTTATTCCTTATATTTAAGCATTCAATGATCATTCAACTCTACTCCATGTCACTACCCACACTCCATCCAACTTCTATTCAATCTCAATCATTACCCTATTCAACTCTTATACTACTTACATTGTAGATGTTTTGATAAGTGAAAGACTCTATTTAGACCAACTTGTATACTCCCCCACGCCAAGGGGAGCAGAGAGCTTCCAGGTCAGCATACAACACCACCACATGTGGTGTCAGTATACATACCACATTGAAGAAGAAAGAAGAAGAGGGCTGCAAGAAAGAAGAAGAAAGATGATTAGTCGTTCTCAATTACGGTGACCATATTCCACAACGTCAGAACCACCACGACGCACACATGATGGTGTGCACGATCATGGTGGTCTGCTACTGCGGCAACAAAACTTCTTCGTTGTTGGTATACCTGACGTTCTTATTAAACAAAATCTCATTGAACTAATATATACTTCAAAATATTTCACCTATCTTGGAATATCTTGGAAAACAGAGCCTTGATAATTAAAAATTTTAAATTCTTATATCCATAAATGAAAATTATTAAGAGTTCTTAATTAATGATGATTCTTTCAAGTTACATCGAAACCCATTTACCTTTTACATTATATGTATGTGTTAAATCTTTGAAGTATTGTATAAACTTGAAAAGTAATATGTAACTAGGCATCGAACGGACAAGTAATAGTTCCAATCAGTTCTAAACTTTAGAAACAAAAATTGGAGCAAGTCACGTGTGTGTCGAAACCCAATCGTTTCTAAACTTCGAGGATTAGTTTTAGTTTTGGCAGTTCCGTAACGGTTCTGGTTCTAATAACGGATATCTGATTCTAATTCTCACCCCTAGTCATGTTTCTAAAAAGCTTGTCATGGCTTTGCCATAGTGCACCATGACTTTAAGGTTTATACCTGACGTTACGCCTTAAAAATTTGCCGACTTAAGTCATTTAGATATATAAAAATAAATAATATTAAACTATTCATATCTATTCTAATAATCTTTTTGCTACATGTCACACGTTCATTGATTTGGCCACATATCATTTTATAGTTATTTTCAATTAAATTTTTTCCACATGGCATTTTGTAGTTTTCTTCATTTTATTAAATTTCACATAATATTTAAATATAATAATTGCAATAAATTAATAACAAATGCATATCAATTTCATTAATTGACTTTTCTTCTAATTTCAAAATCTCTAAATTAAAACATCATTAGTTTCCTTTGTTTATTTATCTAAATTATTTGTTTAAATTTAAAACAGAAAAATACTTTAATTTTAATAATTCAATATTTTTCTAATTTTTTCTTATAAATTCAAATTTCTAAAATGTTTAGAATTTTATATTTAATTTTTCTTTTAAATAAACTCATGTAATACATGAGTCTTACACCTAATAAAATTATTATTTATATACAGAAATATCGTCTTAAATCACGTTTTGATATGTACAACTAATAAACCTTTGATACTTGATAGGGATAATGACTTAAAAATGTAATATATTTTTTGATTTGTACACATTTGGTCACTGAGTTTTTTCCGTCCACATTTACTCCTTCAACTTGTTAAACTGTAGATATTCAGTATTTATGACCGATTACTCCAGGTTAGCACAAAAAAATGACTTAATAGGGTAATATATTTCTCATTTTGTACACATTTAATCTTTAATATTTTTGTACACATTTAGTCCTTAATATTTTTTTGTTTCAAAATAAGTCTTTTTTGTTTTTGTACTCATTCAGTATTTATGAATGATATTTTTATGTTTTTCTCACGACATCTTACGTGGGACAATCATTGATGAGGTGTTTGGGTTTGTTGATGCTTATGTCCATCGTGATCTCGACTGCTTGGTTGCGTAGGTCTCGTGGTTTGGCTTAGGTCTTGTCTTATGAACGTCGTAACTTCTTCATACGATATCAAATTTTAACAATCTTTATATCCACGTGGTCGTTTTTTGAGTCTACTACAACTTTCGTTAAGATTACTCCCGTTAAAATGTAATATTTTTACTTACGATTTTATAAAAAAAAACATCCATATGCATTCATAAAAAACATATGGATATAAAGATTGTAAGTAAAATATATTACTTTTAACGGGAGTAATCTAAACAAAAAGTTGTAATAGACTAAACTACAAACGCATGGATATAAATATCATCAAAATCCAAGATTGTATGAAGAAGTTATGACGTTCAGAACACATGACCTAAGCAACCAAATAGTCGAGATCGCGATGGACATAAGCATCAAAAGCCCCAAACACTTTATTAATGATTGTCCTATGTAAGATGTCGTGAGAAAAAACTAAAGAAATCATTCATATGTACTGAATGATAACAAAAACAAAAATAACTTATTTTGCAAAAAAAATAAAAAAATTAAAGACTAAATGTGTACAAAAATATTAAGGATTAAATGTATACAAAGTGAGAAATATATTACCCATTAAGTCATTTTTACCAGCTAACTTGAAATGGTCGGTCATAAGAACTAAATATGTACAGTTTAACAAGTTAAAAGAATAAATATGGACAAAAAAAAACTCAATAACCAAATATGTATAAATAAAAAAAATATATTACCCTCCTAAGATATATTATCACAAGGTCACGTACCTTATTTAATAAGCTTGCCCCTAATCATATTAAAATAAGAACTTTGCTATTAAAAGAATTTGCTGTTAAAAGATTACTGCGAAAAAGAAGCCATGAATAAAAAAGCCACTTCTCTTCTACTGTGTTTTCTTCTTGCTTCTAATCTTCTCCCACTCTCTCTTCTTCCATGTACACTCTGCTTCCATTTTCATGGCTTATTTTTTCGCCGCCAATCACCGACTGAATTAGATCTCCGGCAACAAAACCTACTTCAGCGACGACTCCGATCAACGTTAGCAGCTTTTTTCACTGTACTTCGTTTTTTCCAGCATTCGTTCAGATTTTCACACAAACTGTGTGTAAACTATGTGTTTTCGTTCTCGAATTTGTGTTTCTTTCAATTTATTAAACGGTCGGATTTCTGCAACTAAGTTTTATACTGTATGCGCGTTTTTTGGGAGATCTGTTGGTTGAAGGAGCTATTTTCGTGTGAAGTAAATGAATTTGACCAACACTTCCTCCCTAACTGAAATTTACTTCCGATTTTACAAATTCAAGCTTTCACATGATATTTTCCTAATTTTTCTCCCTGTTTTCTACTGAAGATTCTTTAGTTTTGAAGCTAAAACTTAAAATGTATAGAAAAAACTAGAAAAGGCAAACACAAATTTCGATGACCAGATAATCATGCACTTCTGTCGTTGAAAACTTCAATTTCATTTGTATCGTTTTCATGGATTTCACCAAAATAATTGCGTAAACGTAGTCACATCAGTTCTATTCTCTTTCTCTCCGACTTTTATCTTATTTCTATAAATATAATTTCTGTTTCTGTAGATAATGTTGAAAAAGGAGTCGAATAATTGAAGGTACGGCACTGTAAAAGCTGAAGATGCTTTTTCCCCATTCTATTTTCATGAATTCTTCATAAAAATAGTTGGGGAAGAAGAACTGGTTTGATAATGGATATAGGGAGAGAGAGTTCATATGAAGGCTACCCAGTTAATGTTTGTTGGACTCCATCCACCCCTGCAAATCCAGATGTTTCAGACCCAAAATCAAACTGCAAAAATGGATCTGAAGAACAACTTGATATGAATGCTGGCATGTATAACAGGTTTTTGATGGATAATGTCTGGAAGAGCATTCCTTGTAGTGATCTGCTTGCACTTGCAGACGCTGCCATCACCACAAAAGTTTCCGGTGGTGGATGTGGCGGCATTGGTGGCAATGACACCAGATTAATCATGCAGTTTGGGAATCAAGATACTGGAAGCAGCAGCAGCTTCACACAACAATGGCAGCCTGATGGAACCAGGTACTTATTTGATCTAAATTCACCTCCAATTGCAACAGAACAAGAAGAATTAATCACAAGCATTTCTACTCAAGTAACACCAGTGACACCAAAGCAAACCATTACAACAGATGAAGATAAAGAAAAACAAGATGAAATGAGGTTTGATGTTGAACAATTACATGATGATGTTTGGGAATTGGAGGTAAATGAGGAGTTTGAAGAGGGGTCAAGTGACGATTTTAACCTCAAGAAAACGCCACAACCGAAACAAAAAAGAAGAAAGCATAGACCAAAAGTGGTCACAGAAGGTCGACCAAAAATTACAAAAAAGCCATTGGCTTCCTCCACAAAGAGGAAATACATCAGGAAGATTGTGAATGAAGCTATTACAGTTCCAAAAACTAGGGATTCATGTAGGAGAAAGATCAACTTTGAGGAAGAGGAGGATTTGCATACGGGAGTTTGGTCAACCGGGCAGTTGACCGGAGACACAATACATGGAAGTCAAACCCTGGGCCCCATTACCCCAAACAAGTCAGAGAAACCCGAAAAGGGTATCAAGCACACATGGTCAAGAGCAAAACGACACATCAGTTTTTCACAAAAAGATGCTAGAAATGACACCAATGCATGTTTTAGCAATGGTGAAGAAGAAAGAGGAACAAAACGAGAATTTGAGTCTTTGGAAGCATATTTACACTTTCCTGAAATCTACAAGAAAAAGAGAACCACAAAGTGTCGGAGTTCCATCACATCAAGGGCAATTTCGTCCATTTGGTTTCCAAAAAACAATAGTTTCAGCTTTCAAGCTCTTCGGTTTAAAGTTCGTGAAAGATCAAGAGTTTACAAGCACATGTGGGGATTTAGTCATGTGGGGAGTGTGAGAAAGAAGAGAAGTAAGGGTGTAAAACGGATGCGTGATTTGGCTTCATTTGGTGGAATATGGTTGGATCATAAGAGAGCATTAACATGCATGGAAGCTCTTTCTGCTGATTTTGGTGTTAATATAGCAACAAAGAAACGAACAAAGAGAAACTCTATTGTGTCATCTTCATATCATAACCACTACTTCCTCACAAACCATCTAGGTACTAATCAATGTCTTCTTTTAATGACATCGATCTCATATCAATGGGAAAAAAAATTGATTTTTTTAAAAAGATGGCATAGAGATTCGCTCTTGATCTCTTGTATGTGCAAAAGACATGAATGCCCTTTTCGTCCTCATCATTGGAAGTAGCCTAGAAGGATGCATTGGACTAGGAGTGATGTTAATGGGGCAAAATTTGCATAATTTTGTCCCACCCAAAAAGGTGGAAGAGAGACTTCCTCTCGATCTCTCGTTTGTGCAAAAGACGTAAATGCCCTTATTGCCCTAATTATGACATTGTGGCCCTAGAAAGCTTGCTTGGCATGTGTTGGACTCGAACCGAGACTAATGTCAATGGAATAAAAAAAATTCATTTTTTTTGTCCACCCAAAAAGTTTTGATTGAGACTCGCTCTCGATCTCTGGTCTATGCAAAAGACGTAAATGCCCTCCTTGTCCTCATCATCGAAAGTAACCTCGGAAAGCTTGTGTTTGACATAAAAAGTGGACTAAAGAATCGCTCTCAATTTCTCGTCTATGCAAAAAGACGTAAATGCCCTCCTCGTCCTCATCATCAGGAGTATCCCGAAAGGCTTATTTGTACTGCTTTTGGCATGCATTGGACTGGGACTACGAGTGAGACCGGTGTCAATGGGACAAAATTTGCATCTTTTATCCCTCCCAAAAAAGGGGTCATCTATACAAAAGACATAAATGCCCTCAGTGCAAAAGTGTGTCTAGTCTTGTCCTATGAAGAACAAGAAACTAAATCATTTTTTTCTCTATTCACTTAATCCAGGTTTTGGATGGAAAACCGCATACGATATCAATTCACTCATAAATCAATTCAAGAATTTGGACATCAACAACCAAAGGGTGGAAAAAGATGGACATGCACTTGTTCCATACTTGACAAGATTCCAAGAGAAGAATGGAATTGTTTTATATCAACAAGATAGAAGTGTTGTTCCTTTTGAAGATGATTATAATCCATTGAAGAGAAGAATTCCACGCCCTAAAGTGGATCTTGATGAGGAAACAAGTAGAGTTTGGAGACTTTTGTTGGAAGATATAAACAGTGAAGGAATAAATGGGACAGATGATGATAAGACAAAATGGTGGGAAGATGAAAGAAATGTATTCAAGGGGAGAGCAGTTTCCTTCATTGCAAGAATGCACCTTGTCCAAGGTGATGTTTTTTTTTTTTTTTTTTTAAACCATGCTGATAAAATAAAAAGAAATTAATTTTACTAAAGGATTAATGTCATAAATGGGTAATCAAGTATATGTGTTTTGATGTAAATGGGTTACGAATTATTTCTTTTTGTTCACAAAATACCATTAAAACCCATTAAAATAAAGGTTAATCTCATAAAAGACCTTATATTTTGTGTTTTTTCCGGATTAAACCTCAAAAATTATTTTTTGCCTGAAAAAGACCTTGTATTTTTTTCCAAAAAAAAAAATGTAAAATGTGAGGGTTTTTTTAGAGAAACTAAAAAAATTGAGGGTTTATTTGGAAGTATTTAGAAGGTTGAGGGTTTTTTTCGGAAAAAAAAAATACAAAGTTGAGGGCTTTTTCGGAAAAAATGAAAAAATACAAGGTCTTTTTCAGGCAACTTTTTTTTTTTTTTTTGAGATTTAATCCGGAAAAAAACACAAAATATAAGGTCTTTTATAAGATTAAACCTTAAAATAATGATATTTTATGAACACAAGGTTCTAGTTGATTACCTTCTGATGGTATTTTTTAAAAACAATGGTGTTTTATAAGATTAAACATTAAAATAATGATATTTTATGCATGTTCATTACTTTAACTTTTAACATACTTAATCAGTTAAACTTATAGTTTTTGCACAAAAAAGACGTTAATGCCCTCCTAAGTCCTATCAAAGACTTTTGTCCCTTGTAACAAATGCAACATAATAACCAAAATGAAATTTTTATTTCAGGTGATAGACGTTTCTCTTGTTGGAAAGGGTCAGTTGTAGACTCAGTTACAGGTGTTTTCCTTACACAAAACGTATCAGATCATGCATCAAGGTACACTAAATATTATAAAAACTAAATATAAATTCACAACACCGAATTTTTATATATATATTTGTTCATTTTTTCAGTTCAGCATTCATGTCTCTAGCTGCAAAATACCCCTTAAAGTCAAAAAGCATCCATGAACCCTTTGAAGAAGACAAATCAATCAAACCCATAAAAGAATCATGTGATTTTGATATAGAAGAATCCATCACATGGTATGAACATGAAGAAAATCCAGATCAAAAACTAGCTCAAGATCTTAATTCTATGACCCTACAAAACTCTGATTCATATGAAGAAAAAGAAGTTGTTCATAGCAATGAATATATTGATCATAGTGGAAGTGAACAAAGTGGAATATCAACAGAATCTACAACCCAAGAAACACAGAATTTAAAGTTAAACATTATCTTTAATCAAGAAACTCAAGAAAATAATTGTGATCTACAAAAGGCTATTTCAGAAGTCACTGAAAGCAACAACAACAACAACAACAACAACATTGAGGAAAGTTCAAGAGGTTTGAATGAAGATGGAAAGCTTGTAACAAAAAAGGGTAAAACCGGAAAAGAGAAAAAGATTAAAATCGATTGGGATAGTTTGAGAATCAAAGCAGAAATTAATCATAAGAGAGAAAGAACACCAAATAATATGGATTCATTGGATTATGAAGCATTAAGATTAGCAGATGTTAATGAAATTGCTGACACTATAAAAGACAGGGGTATGAACAATATGCTTGCTGAAAGAATTAAGGTACACCTATATTACATATATGTTAATGTAATAATGTCATTATTTTTTTGTTTTGTTTTGAATAAAAATTTATAAAAAAAAAAAAAAAAAAAAATCTACACAGGATTTTCTGAATCGACTTGTAAGAGACCATGGAAGCATAGATCTTGAATGGTTAAGAGATGTTCCACCAGATAAATCCAAGTAAGAAAAATAACATCAAATTTATATTACACGAATGGTCCCTATGGTTTGTGGTAATTTGCAGGTTTGGTCCCTAACTTATTTTTTTAACTCGGAAGGTCCCTACAGTTTGTTTTTGTTGTGCACTTGGTCCTTGTCTTACCTAAAAAAGACTATTTTGCCCTTGATTTTTTAATTTATTTAAATAAACACACTTCCAACCCCACTTCCACCTCACCTTACCTACCTCATTTTATTTAAATAAATTAAAAAATCAAGGGCAAAATAGTCTTTTTAGGTAAGACAAGGACCAAGTGCACAACAAAAACAAACTGTAGGGACCTTCCGAGTTAAAAAAATAAGTTAGGGACCAAACCTGCAAATTACCACAAACCATAGGGACCATTCGTGTAATTTACTCTTTTTTTTTTTCTAAATCTATTATGAATTAATGATATGTGAGATAAGAAAATTAATGATATGAATTTATATTGTTTGGTGTTAGGGAGTATCTACTGAGCTTTAGAGGTTTGGGGTTGAAAAGTGTGGAGTGTGTACGCCTACTTACACTTCATCATCTTGCTTTTCCAGTAAGAACTAAATAAAAAAAAATCTTTTTTTTTAATTATTGTATTATTTAATTAAATAATAAAAATTTGGTATGTGTTTAATTAGGTTGACACAAATGTGGGGCGTATAGCTGTAAGACTTGGATGGGTACCCTTACAACCACTTCCCGAGTCTCTTCAGTTGCATCTTTTAGAATTGTAAGCTTTTTAGAGCTCTTTTTGATGATGAGGATTAGGAGGGCATTTCCGTCTTTTTCACAAACAAGCCCCATTACTTTTTATTACAGACAAAAAGTTGCAATTTTTGTCTTACTGCATGTCAAACACAGTACAAGTCTGTTTATAAAAACATTTGGGATTATGAAAAAAAAAATGATAATGTTTATGTTTTTTTTTTACAGGTATCCGGTTTTGGAGTCTATACAAAAATATTTGTGGCCACGGCTTTGTAAATTAGACCAAAGAACTTTGTAAGACAATTTACATATATTATAAAAAAAACATATTTACATATATTATAAAAAAAAACATTACATTTTTGGTAATCTTTTATTGCATGATTATTAGGTATGAATTACATTATCAGATGATTACTTTTGGGAAGGTTTTTTGTACAAAGAATAAACCGAATTGTAATGCATGTCCAATGAGAGGAGAATGCAGACATTTTGCAAGTGCATTTGCAAGGTTTAAGTTCAAACCAACATCTCTCTTTTTTAATTCAAATATCCAACATTTTTCTTTTTTACAAAAAATTATTATGATGATGAGTCTTTTCACAACTCTTATAAACATAAAGGTCATAACCTCATATTCTAAAACACCATAAAAAGACGTAAATGCCCTCATCCTTGTCATCGAAATTAACCCTAGAAACAAAAATTGCAATTTTTTGTTTCACCCAAAAAGGTAGGACATGGATCTTGATATCTCGACAATGTAAAAGACATAAATGCCCTCCTCATCCTCCAAAAACTAATAAAAAAAAATTACTACAGTGCAAGGCTTTCCCTACCAGCCCCAGAGGAAAAAAGTATAGTAACTGCAACTGAAAACAAACCACCCACCGGAATCATCACCCACCACCACCTACTGCCACCACCAAACCACCACCTGCCGCCAGACTCCGACATCCAAAACCACCACCCTATAATCGAAGAACCAACAACACCAGAGCCAGAAAAGATGGAAGAATTTGATATGGAGGATTTCTGTGAAGAAGAAGAAGATTCTGAAGAAATCCCAACAATTAGACTTAATATGGAAGAGTTTACACAGAATTTGCAGACTTATATGGAAAATAATATGGAACTTGAAGAAGGTGACATGTCAAGGGCATTAGTGTCATTAACATCAGAAGCTGCTTCTATTCCCACACCTAAGCTTAAAAATGTCAGCCAGCTAAGAACAGAGCATCAAGTGTAAGTATACATGCTTTATCCTAATTGGAAATATATATATATATATATATATATATATATATATATATAAGGACAAACATACTTTCACCTTTTTTATCGATTTAGTCATAACTTTTTACTATAGTTATTAAACTAGTATACCTTTTGACATTGGAAAAAAAGTTAAAATACAGAAAAACGCACTTTTATGATTTCACAATTTATCATATTGTTTTTTGGGTTAATCTCATAAAAGACCTTATATTGTGTGTTTTTTCCAGATTAAGCCTCAAATTTATTTTTTTACTGAAAAAGACCTTGTATTTTTTTTTTTCATTTTTCCGAAAAAACCCTCAACTTTGTCTTTTTTTTTCCGAAAAAAAACCCTCAACCTTCTAACTGCTTCCAAATAAACCCCCGACTTTTTTAGATTCTCGAAAAACCCCTCAAATTTTACAATTTTTTTTGGAAAAAAATGACTAAAAGGGCCAGATTGGAAAAAATGAAAAGATACAAGGTCTTTTTCAGTCAAAAAATAAATTTAAGATTTAATCTGGAAAAAACACACAATATAAGGTCTTTTATGAAACTACCCTTTATTTTATTTTTTACAGAAAAACCATATTATTTAGGGAAATTTCATGGTTATACTTTTTTCCAATCAAACCATAAAAGTTTCAAACGCATTTTCCAAATTAACCATTCTGACATGATAACAACATATTTATTTATTTATTTATTTTGTAATTTACTGTTTATAATAACAACATATTTCTAACCCTTATATCAATGTTACAGATATGAGCTTCCAGATTCACATCCTCTCTTGGAAGGGGTAAGTAAGCATACATTTTAGAAAACACAAATTTTATTTTCATTAATTTTATTTTTTTTTCAAACAAATGTTTCTCTAAATTCCAGCTGGACAAACGAGAGCCTGATGATCCTTGCTCATACCTCCTTGCAATTTGGACACCTGGTAAACTACTACTATTTTACTTTCAATAATTTTTCTTATTATACCATTTAAAATTGCTTTGTATTTAAATGACAATGTTATAATTAAATCGATTTTTCAAAGTACAATGTTGTAATAGGAAGAAATTAAAATTGCTATTTCTTCCATTTTAATTTTAATTTTTTTTTTTTTTTTTTTAAATAATAGGTGAAACTGCTGAATCGATTCAGCCACCAGGAGGACAATGTAGCTCTCAAGAATCTGGTAACTTATGTCATAATGAAACATGTTTTTCATGCAACAGCATACGAGAAGCAAATTCCCAAACTGTTAGAGGAACACTCTTGGTAAATTACTTTTTTGCCCCTATGCTATAATTGTCATGTTTCCTAAAATTAACGGATCAAGGACTAAAAACGTTAAGAAACAGTGAAATAGGGATGAAAATTAAATAAATAAATTAAAAAATTCAAAGCAAAAGGATTCCTTTTTGGTCAATATTCGAATAATTCGATATAACTCAGGGACCAAAAATGTAATTTATATCCAATTTATTATTGTCCCTACACTATAATGGGCATATTTCCTAAAATTAATGAATCAAGGACTAAAAACTTTAAGAAACAGTGAAATAGAGATGTAAAAAAAAAAAGCAAAAGGATTCCTTTTGGTCAATATTCGAATAATTCGATATAACTCGGGGACCAAAAATGTAATTTATATCTGATTTATTTTGTTCCCTACACTAATCGTCATATTTCCTAAAATTAACGAATCAAGGACTAAAAAAGTTAAGAAACAGTGAAACAGGGATGAAAACTGAAAAAAAAAAAGCAAAAGGATTCCTTTTTGGACAATATTCGAATAATTTGATATAACTCAGGGACCAAAAGTGTAATTTATATCTGATTTATTATTGTCCCTACACTATAATCGGCATGTTTCCTAAAATTAATGAATCAAGGACTAAAAACTTTAAGAAACAGTGAAATAGGGATGAAAAAAAAAAAGCAAAAGGATTCCTTTTTGGACAATATTTGAATAATTCGATATAGTTCAGGGACCAAAAATGTAACTTATATCTGATTTGGATCTTATATGTATACGATGAATAGATTCCATGTCGAACTGCAATGAGGGGGAGCTTCCCACTCAATGGCACATACTTTCAAGTTAATGAGGTAATTAATAGCAATGTCCTTTCATTTTGTTTTTTCATATTGTAATATTGTACTTTGAAAAATCTACTACAAAGCAATTTCTACTGATATAATTAAAATATTAGATTTTTCAATGTATAATTTTGAAAAAAGTTTTTGGTTGAAATGTAGGTGTTTGCAGATCATGACTCTAGCCTTAACCCAATTGATGTTCCAAGATCTTGGTTATGGAATTTACCAAGAAGAACAGTCTACTTTGGAACTTCCATACCAACAATATTTAAAGGTAAAAATGAGATAAACATTTACATACAAAAAAATTAATACAGAAATAAAAAAAAGTGGTTTAAATTGGTTAAAGTACAAGTGTTTTTCTGTATTTTATTTTTGCTACATAATATCAGTGTAAAAAGTTCATATTAAAATAACTCTACGAATACTGTGTTTTTAACTTTTTTATAAATCAACTTTTATTACCAGGCTTGACTACAGAAGGTATTCAATACTGCTTCTGGAGAGGTATGTAGAGATATAGTTTCTAATTTATATAGTTTAATAAAAATCTTTGACTGATAACAAAATACCTAAATTGCCCCTTAGGGTTTGTTTGCGTGAGGGGATTTGATCAGAAGACACGGGCCCCACGTCCCTTAATGGCAAGACTACACTTCCCAGCTAGTAAATTATCAAGAGGAAGAAATTATGAAAATTAGATATAAATGGATGGATGCGCATACATTTGGTGATTAAAAAAAAAAAAAAAAAAAAAAAAAAAGGCTGACTGATGACATGATTTATGGTTTAGAGATGATAGAGGCACATGACTAATTTGTAATAATAAAAAGTAACATATTTTTCTTAGTTTTTTTAACCCAAATAGGCGATTTACTTTAATTAAAGTCAAATATACATAAGAGACCTAATCTAAACCCTAATCATTAACGGTATGATTGTCAACAATTACACAGCATCAATAAACAATGATTAACAATATGTCAATATTAGTTTCTAAACATCAATAAACAAATATTTCAAACATTAAATATCAACCAGAAGTTTAATTTGACAACTACTCGACAATGGATCCACACAAACGCAAGTATTCTAAGAAATTTCGATATTCATGTACATAGATGATAGAACGCTAGCGGAATTAAAGCTTAGCGAGAATTAATTGAATCTGAACATTGATCGATGATCATACGATAAATTCATAAGATCGAACTTACCTTTTTCAAATGAATAGACCTGTAAGGAAGTAACTTACACGTAGATAGAAATATGAAGACGACTTCAACTGAATCCGGTGGCGGAGCCGGCGAAGGTGGCGGCAAGAACGAAAGTGCGCGGTGGAGATTTGTGAGTTTTACCGCCAAATTGGTTTTCGACTTTTCGGTTGAATGTAAGTTTTATATAAAATTGGGAAGATGACACTTTCCCCCCTAACATTTTGAACAAACATAAGTTACCCCCCTCCCTTCAACAAACTTTTGCATTCGTATTCTATAAATTATGAATTTGCTTTCAGTTGGGTGTTGTTTTTTTAGTAACGAAGTTAATAGCGATAACCCTTGAAAATAAATCCCTTAGAAAATAGAGAGAATTAAGTATTAAACATAAAAACATTATACGTCCAAAATAATTTTTAAATACTATATTATTCTTCATAAAATTTTAAAATATTATATTTGTCTAAATCTTTTTTTTTATATTTTAAAATCCTTATTTTTACCAATTGAATATTATACTTTCTTATAAACCTAAGTTTAAAATATCTTATATATACTTATAACTTTCAAAATATCATTATTTATACAACTTATTAATTTAATAATTTTCAATAAGTTATAAATAACTACATAATTAATCCTATTAGAGCAATTTTGTTTTTTCGCCACTTCTATTTTTATTATGAAGTTTGAAAATGTAAATATCAAAAAAAATTATTTATTATCAATGTCGTACCACATGGTAATTAAGGCAACCCTTGTTTATTTATGTGCACAAAATGTTTTTATTCTAGCAAACTAGTAATTAAGGTGCTGTTTGTTTTTTCTAAAAAGCCACTTCCGACCACTTATTGTTGCGCCGCGCAGTACACGCGCAACATTTGGTCATTCGCAGTTGTTTGTTTTTCAGAAGACTTCTAACTTAAAAACGGTTGTGCGTATACTGTGTGGCGCATCACTAGACCATCTGCTTCAAAAATCTTCACACCTTACTTTAACTTATTGCAGCAGTCTGCAGATGTTAAAAAAACAAACAGGCCTTTTATTACATGGTGCAGCCGTTTGATCCACCTCTGCGAGGATTGCAGAGGTGGTCCGCAGACTCTAGACATTTTCGCTTCAAAAAAACAAACAACACCTAAATAAACATGGTTATGAACAGCTCAAAGGACATATTTCTTGTCGAAAACCACTTCTTAAAGAAACAACCAAAGCATAATAATTAAAACCATACAAAACACATTGAGTCGACATTGTATTTTGAAAAAAAAAATGTCATAACCAACAAAAAAAACATATAAAAAGGACCAACTGTTTTCACGAGCTTCTTTCATAAACTCCCAAATACTTTACCATGAGACTTTGTATTTTTTCCATATATCCTAAAAATAAATAAAAATATTATTATCATGGTATAAGTATTAATATCTTTTTATGAAATAAAACAAAGAAAATAAAGAATTAAGTAACATTTTAAAGGTGGATGTTTCACTTGAATCCAAACCTTCACATGCGGAATTCTTATATGTCTTTCATAAACTCTCAAATACTTTTAAACTACTATGAGACTTTGTATTTTTTTTCCACATATCCTAAATTAAATTAAAGTATTATTATCATGCATAAGTATTGAATTATTGATATTTTTTTATGAAATAAAACAAAGGAAATAGAGAATTAAGTAATTTTTTAAAGGTGGATGTTTCACTTGAATCCAAACCTTGACATGTGGAATTATTACATGCCTTTATGATGTCCATACTCACCACAACGCGGACACTTGTGCATTTTTTTAAAGAACCACATGCTTTTGAAATTGCTTTGATGTCAGGAGAATCACTAAATGCCAAATAATTGGGAGAAAATATATTCGTTTATTGGAAAACATCCATCTGGACGACAAAAACTAGAATTAAACCGTTAGATGAGTCTAAAAGAAGACACAAATGATTATGATGTGGGTGAGCATGGACACCATGGAAATACAGGCAAGAATCTGCATCTCAAAGTATGAATCCAAATTAAACATCCACCTCTAAAATGTTATTCAAATTTCCATTTGATTTGTTTTATTTCAATGCTAATAATATATTTATTTATTTTAGAAGACGTGTAAATAATAGAAAATGTTGTGGTAGCTTGGTTGTATTGGGTCTATATGAAAAAATCTCATGAAAATAGTTGATCATTTTTATATGTTTTTTTTGTTGGTTAACTATTCTTTTTTTTTTTTGAAATACAATACCCATTGAATGTGTTTTGTATGTTTTTCTTTATCAGTGAGTACAAAAACATTGGTTTTTTATGTAACACCCAAAAAAAATTTATATTTATTTATAATCAATATTAAAGAAACAATAATGTTATCCTTTGTTAAAAAATTCCAAAGTAAAGTGTTAGAATGAAATAAAAGGTTCTTCAAAACAAATGCGAAAGTCTCAAACCCATGTTACATAGTCATAAAAGCCATAAATAAAAATAACTGAAAACTAAATGAATGTGAATGTCAACTGTAGTCATGTCGTTTTCTTTCCCTTATTCACCCTAGGGGATCCTAAAAAGGTTAATAGATAACGAGTAAGCATACACATTGCATAACGCCTAATGAGCATACACATTACTCACTCATTATATTAATCATATATCTACATATAGCACATGCATTCACATAACATTCATACAACACATAAACTCCTAACACATATTTTTGGTACAAAGTACATTCCTTTTATGTCCAGAGAGTACCCAGAGGGTATCATCATGGATTTGTTCCTCTCCAGGTTACCACAAAGGGTATCATGGATATGTTCATGTTCCAGATTACCATGAGAGTATTATGGACTCGTTCCTTTCCTTGTCCATTCTACCCCTCAGGATATTCGTGGACAACATTAAACATAAACAGGCAAAGTCAACATAGTAAGTAAAGTTGTAACTCACTTGAATAACAAGTCGTATGAGCAATACTAATGATGTGAGCTAGGATAGACTTCCTCTCTAATCAACCTACATATGTTACATGTATTCACTACTGTTGGAGATAGTGTCCAATGTCATTAACCATTAGTAATATTTCTAAATAATAACATGGTCATTTTGGGTTGGTCTTATGACACAATTAGCAATAAGGAAATGGAGAAAAATAAGTTGTTAATTTATTATGAATTAATAAATTATTTTGGTAACTAATAAAATAGTTTTAATTAATTAAAATGCTTGAATATTAATTAATTTCTAGAGATTAACTGAAATATTCTAGAAGCCTCTTGGAAGATGATGAAACGAAATTAAGGATATATATCCTTAAATATGGAAGGTTTTGATAAGGATAAGGATTATCCAAGGAAACTAATCAGCTTAAAGATTATGGCTACTGCTTATGAATAAGGTGATAGAGATCAAACCCTAGAGCACTTTTTCCACCAAACTTTTGTTCTCCCTCTCTCCTATATCTTTTTGCGGTTGAATTTTATATCCCCGCTCTTGGGATATAGAAATTTCAACTAATCCAAAGGATGAAGGATAAGGATTTGATAAGGATAAGGATTATCCTAGGAAACTAATCAGCTTAAGGATTATGGCTACTGCTTATGAATAAGGTGATAGAGATCAAACCCTAGAGCACTTTTTCCACCAAAATTTTGTTCTCCCTCTCTCCTATATCTTTTTGTGGTTGAATTTTATATCCCCACTCTTGGGATATAGAAATTTCGACTAATCCCTCAATAAGGTTTTCCTTGTTTTGGTTTTTGGAGTCTTGGGTCTGACTGTATTAAAGGGATTCTCCTTTGGGTCCTTCATCATTTGCAAGAGTTTTCAATCACAAGAACTCAATCAAAAGATCAAGATGTTATTATTCTTACTTAGATCGTTTTGGCACCTCGTTGCTATAATAATAAAACCTACATCCTAGAGTGCATGTACACTTAGGTAACTTTTGTTTGTTTCTACTGCCTTGTTAGAGTGTATTGATGTTATAAAAACCCAACAACTACTTAGATCACATTCCAAATTATTACTTTATGATACTTATAAAGTACTTTATTTTTACTTATACTTTCGGTACAACAACATGTTTTGTTGACTTATTTACCACCTTTAAACCCGATCTTTTATTAAGATTATTACTTATTATTAAAGCATACTCTTTTACCTTTCCATGGATATAAAGTACATGCTCATATGATTTTTGGTTAATTTATTATGAATTTTACAAGTTGACTAATGAAACAATTAACTTTTCTGACCAAGCTGCAAAGATTTCAACTTTTACCCTAGGCTTGGAATTAGGTTAAGCGGTTAAAATTTAAGGGAAACTAGACTCCCTCACCTTTCTATAAAAGTAAACCTCACGAAATTTGGATGCTCCATTGATTTTATACGATTTTTTTGAAGAAAATGATAGATTACAGCAAAATGTTAAACAATCTCTTGACAGCACGAAACAAGACAGGGTTTTCGACCCACTTAAGAGCATAATCATCCTAGAAAATCTATAGACAAACGGTAGTAGACATTCATAAATTTCCAATTATGTAACTTTCATAGTCAATCGATTCCTAGAGAATTTTCTATTATTTTAGAAGTTACCGACAAATTACATGAACTTATATCGTTAACCTTATTTCCAAGTCTCCCTTTTACCCACCCATTAAGTACTTAATCAATAAGCCTTTGAGCATCAATTCATAAAGTATTAATGTAACGACCCAAAAATCAGAGGTAAAAATTTCATTTTTATTATAGCTAAAAATTGATACCATTTATTTCAAACGTGTCAAATTCTCATTAAGTAAAACATTTATCAGAGTTCGTCCCAAAAACATTCATTGCGGAATCATAGGTGTGTGCACTGCGATCAATCCGAGCTTTTCCCTTCCAAAACGATGATACCTGAAACCATAAACAAAACATGTAAGCACGAAGCTTAGTGAGTTTCCCAGAGCATACCATACACACAATCCACATATCACATATCATGTTAGCTATAAAAGCTATTTGTATCACATATCCTGCTAGCTATAGAAGCTACATATAACACATAAGTCATGCATACATAAACCTAGGAATGTCATGGGCTACCCCACATGGTCTTACATCCAACGTGTTATGGGCTCCCCCACATGGTCTTTACCTAGGAATGCCATGGGCTACCCCACATGGTCTTACATCTAATTGCCACGGGCTCCCCCCGGGGTCTTCCATGCAATAACACACATAACATATCACATATCACAGAAATATCTACAGATAGTGCAATCTTACCCTGAAAGTTTTTACATTGGAAAACGAGATCAATATATGCAGGATGAAGATGAAACAAGAAAATTTGGTTGTTAGACAAGAGTTTGACAAATTGAAATGGAAGTTATTTACTTTTAAAGTTGTGATGTTTGTGTTGTTTGTGTTTAACAAGTAGTTAGATGTATTATAAAAAGTGTATTCACAGTTGTATTTTGACAAAATGTTGTATTTTGTTTGATGTATTAAGACTAAATCTTGTTGATTAATGAAAGTTCGATGTTTTACTGGTTTGAAACAATTGTTAATGTGTTAAATAGGTTAGTGAATTGAAAATGATCCAGATTAACCACAACAACAACAACAAACATTTGTTAATATGTTAAATAGGGGTAAAATGGTCTGTATTAACGACCGCAGCAAAAAACATGTAAAATCCAAGATAAAGAACCAAAAACCAACATGTAATCTAGATAAAAGACAAAGTTTTAAGATTTCATTAGCATGTGCAACATTACAAAACTGTGTCTACATTTGTCCTAATATGTCAAGATGTGTCATGACAATTACCAAAATTAAAAGACTAAAAGTTTGTCTTTCCATAAAATATTTAAACATATAATCATTCCAACATCATTCGGTGTTGATCATTGTTTCCTTCTTTCTTCAAGACCTTCCTCTTCGACCCTAACTTGGTAATTCTTTCTAAGTATTTCCTTATCATCTTCACAGTTGCAACGACAGGAACCTCATCCACTTAAACTGCATCCTCCACTTGAATTGCTTCCTCAGGAACCTCCTCCACCTGAACATCCTTCCACTTGAACTCTTTTAGCTCCTCCTCCACTTGAACTCTTTCAACTGGATCTTCAGGTTAAACCTCCACTTGAACCTCCTTTATGGTTTTGGTGCAAAAAACCTTTATAATGAACATCCATTGTCAAATACTTACTTGGTGATGAATCTGAGGCCATCTTCTTCACAAATAAAAGTTGCATTCAACAATTGTCTTCAATTTCATAACCCTAATCTTCGATTGACAAGACATGGTGTAGAATCGAGGGTTGAGGTGTTTGTAATCATATGATTGTGGAACCCCAATTTAAGGAGAAACGGGGTTGAATTGTATATTAATTCCATGTAATACATGTTATCGATAATTAAACGATGTCATTGAAGGAAATTTTGCCCAAAATTGTTGAGGCATATACACAAACAAGTTAGATTGTTTGTTGACTAAAAAAAAAGACCAAGCGAACAAAATCAATATTTAGTTACCCACTCCAAGAAATAATTTAGACCTAAAGACCGAAAAACAAAAACAAAAACAGCCAATACGTGGCTCATTAACAATATTTTACAAACTAACAAAATTTCAATATATCCTTGACAAAAAAAAATAATAAAATAAAATAAGAATATATAGGGAAAGAAGCATTGTTTTAAAAAATTTCCAAATGTGTAAAAAAGTAACAAAGACAAATCATTAAAAAGGGAACTAAAAAAACTAGCAATTAAATACCTCACAGATTTCATACACTTTGGGCTTTGTTTTCTTTAAATCATGGTGCTATATATATAAATGTTAATTTTCGAAAAGGATGTAATAAAAAAAAATTCAATTCCTATAAGCTGTGATTATTATTTCATTACAACAAACAATACAAAATTATGACCAGACAATCAAGACAAGACAAGACGCGACGCCTTCTACATGATTAAACAAACAAAACAAACAGACCAACAAATTTCTTCTCCTGTAGAAAAACCCATTATGTCTTTCTTGGATTCCAATTAAACGAAAATTAAAAATTTTCCAAAAAAACATATGTACACCAATCAGCCTGCAACACATCTACATTAAATCACCCATCAGAATCTCACTTTACCAAACACGACACAACAGAACAGGTTGTTCTACGTTTGACAGACATGCATTGGACTAGGACTGTGAGACCAATGTAAGACGAAACATAATAATTTTAATTTTATATCCCATCTGAAAAGGTGGGACATGCACTCGCTCTTGATAACTCATATATATAAAAAAGACGTAAACGCCCTCCTCGTCCTCATAAAAAATAGCCTGAAAGGCTTGTCCAAGTCCTGTCCTGTCCAATCCCCATCATGTTGACAGAATCCAACCGGTACTGGACATGGACCCAACTGAACAAGTTTTTTTTTTTCTAGGGCGATTTTTGATGATGAGGGCAAGAAGGGCATTTACGTCTTTTTACATATATGATTGATCAAGAGCGAGTGCATGTCCCACCTTTTTGGATGGGATATAAAATTAAAGCTATTATGTTGTCTTGCATCAGTCTCACAGTCCTAGTCCGATGTCAGTCTCTCATCTGTGTAAAGAGACGTAAATGCCCTTCTTGCCCTCATCATCAAAAATTTCCCTAGAAAAAAAAGAACTTGTTCAGTTGGCTGTGTCAGGTCCTAGTCGGATCTTGTTCACTACACAAGCCTTCTAGGGCTATTTTTTCACGAGGATGAGAAGGGCATTTACGTCATTTTACACAGATGAGTGCATGTCCCACCTTTTTAGATGGGATATGAAATTTGCAATTATTATATGTTTTGTCTTACATGAGTCTCACAGTCCTAGTCCAATGTCAAACGCAGTACAACCTGTTATGTTATGTCTGGTATATATAATTAGATAAGATAAGATATAGTAATAAAATTTTCACCATATATTGTGAAAAGTTTATGCAAGTAGTGAAACGTCTGTTTGACTTGTTTGTGGAGTAGGAGGTTTTGTCAAGGGTCTCAATGTATCCATGATGGCTGAAAACGAAGGGCGTTTCCATGGCTCACTGCATCAAAATTTTTATTAATTAATTAATTAAGAAAATTTAGAGCATAAAAAAATAGTAAATAATTAAGTTAAGTTTATAATCTTTGAACTGACTTTGCCCAACAGGCTTCAATCAATGCTGCTACTTGAGGGTTTACATCACGAGGAATCTCAAGCCTCTTGCATTTAAACCCAACAGCTGCCACAACCTAAAAAAAAAAAAAACAGATTATATTTTTTTAATAAACATGTATTTGTGTATTTTGGAATAAATATGAAAATCGAACCTGTGCAGGATTTAGGTTACCCCAGGGTTGTTGCAAAGTAGCAAGCTCCCATAAAATCACACCAAAACTGTAAACATCTGATTTCTCATTTGAAGGTTCATCACGAAGAACTTCAGGTGCCATCCATTCAGGCTATATATTTATATTTTAATACATTTATAATTATAAATAATAAATAGAATAAAGAGGAAGGAAGGAAGGAATTAACTCACTGTTCCTGCTGCAGTCTTGGATGAAAGAAACGTGTTTGCTTTTAACCTCGAAAGCCCAAAATCACACACCTGAAATTTTATAATAAGTTATATAAATTTTTTTTTTTTTTTACAAAAAAAAAATGTTGTTAATAGTTCTGTGGTTTACCTTTACTGTGTATTTCCTGTCTACTAAAAGATTTGGAGATTTCAAATCTCTGTGAACAATAGGAGGATTGCGTCTGTGGAGGTAATTCATTCCTTTTGCCTATACCAAAAAAGAAGCCATTGATATTAATATATTAATATAATAATTGACAGAAGAAAAAAAGAAAAAAATGTTTTTAAGGACAAAAAAAGAGTAGTAAAAGGTGAAAGGTAGATACCACATCATATGCCATACTCAGCCTTCTCCTCTCATCCAATGCCTCTTTTGCTCCAGGTTTATGCAACAGCCTATACAAACTACCCCTGCACTTGAAAAATATTACAAAATTAGCCCACCATACAAATATAATAACAACAAGCTCCAAAAATTATTAAAAATGTAGAGGGACTAAACCTGGACAAATATTCTGTCACTATTGACAGGTTCGGAGGCTGAGTGACTGCTCCCATAAAAAGAACAATATTTGGATGCCTTAATCTTCTCATTATTGCAACCTAAATCAAAGTAACAATTAGAATAAGTAAATTAATAATGTAATATTAAATTAAATTTAACCTAAAATAATACACTAGGACTCACCTCCTGCAAGAATTCGTTCAACCTCTCTGGATGAAAATCTTGTTCTAAAAGAATTTTCACAGCAACATCCTGGAAGCAGTGGAGTTTGTAAACTTTTAAATGAAAAGACCAAAATACCCTCAATACATATATCTATATATAATAAAAACAAGAAAAAGGTGTATTACTTACAGAGCCATTCCAATCAGCACGATGAACAATACCAAAAGAACCTGAAAATAAAGAGTGATTTTGTATATGAACACCCCATGCAATTTTTATAGATCTTGTAACTTCAATGCGTTTTTTGTAATTTTAAAAATCTTGAACAGTTCGTTTGTTTATTTTTTATTTTCAATCAATAAATTTACAAAGACAAAACGCTGCATCCTACTTTCATTTATTTCTATTACACCAACTCACTTTCAATTATTTTCTTATTAAAGCACTGAACTTTCAAAAGCTTTTATAAAAGCATCATACTTTGAAAAAATTATCCAAAACTTGGTTCAGATTTGAATGTAGGGTTAATCTCATAAAAGACCTTATATTTTTTGTTTTTTCCGGATTAAACCTCAACTTTAATTTTTTTTCCTGAAAAAGCTCTTGCATTTTTCAATTTTTCCAATCTGGCCCTTTTAATCGTTTTTTTCGGAAAAACTTGGAAAATGTGAGGGTTTTTCGAGAAAAACAAAAGTTGAGGGTTTTTTTGGAAACAATTAGAAGGTTGAGGGTTTTCTTCGGATTAATAAAAAAAAAAAAAAAAAGACAATGTTAAAGGGTTTTTTTGTGAAAATTAAAAAAATACAAGGTCTTTTTCAGGAAAGAAAAAAATAAAGATGAGGTTTATTCTGGGGGAAAAACACAAAATATAAGGTCTTTTATGAGATTAACCTATTGCTATAATTGGGTAGCTTTTTTCAAAGTAGGATGCTATAAGTATAACAAAGGGTTAATCTCAAAAAATGACCTTATATTTTGTGTTTTTTTGGGGTTAATCTCATAAAAGACCTAATATTTTGTGTTCTTTCCGGATTAAAACTCAACTTCATTTTTTGCTGAAAAAGACCTTGTATTTTTACATTTTTTCCGAAAAAACCCTCAGCGTTGTCATTTTTTCCGAAAAAACCCCTCAACCTTCTAACTACTTCCAAAGAAACCCTCAACTTTTTTAGTTTTTCTCGAAAAAACCCTCACATTTTACTATTTTTTGGAAAAAAAAACGACTAAAAGGGCCAAGTGAGAAAAAATGAAAAAATACAAGGTCTTTTTCAGGCAAAAATTAAATTTGAGGTTTAATCTGGAAAAAAACAAAAAATATAAGGTCTTTTATGAGATTAATCCTTTTTCCAATTAAACCTCAAATTTATTTTTTGCCTGAAAAAAACCTTGTATTTTTTCATTTTTTCCGAAAAAGCCCTTAACTTTGTACTTTTTTTCCAAAAAAACGCTCAACCTTCTAACTGCTTCCAAATAAACCCTCAACTTTTTAGTTTTTCTCGAAAAAAACCCTCACATTTTACAATTTTTTGGGGGCTTAATCTCACAAAAGACCTTATATTTTGTGTTTTTTCATGATTAAACCTCAACTTTATTTTTTGCCTGAAAAAGGCCTTGTATTTTTTCATTTTTTCCAAAAAAAACTATGAGATCAACCCTTTTTTGGCAAAAACCGACTAAAATGGTCAGATCGGAAAAAATGAAAAAGTACAAGGTCTTTCTTTTTCCTGCAAAAAAAAATTTGAGGTTTAATCCAAAAAAAGGAAAAAAAACACACAAAATATAAGGACTTTTATGAGATTAACCCTATATAACAAACAAATCAACTATAAGTACATTGTTATAAGGACGGAAATCTCCGATAAAGTCCCAATACTTTGGGCCAGTTTACGGTTTAATCCCAACTTTTTATTTTTTGACCTAGAAAATGTCTTGATTATGACGGATTAACGTATAACATTGGATAATCGGGACTTTTTTGTTCAAAAAACAAATGTTTGGATTAAAACCGTAAACAGACCCAAAATATTGAGAGATTATGAGAGAGAGATTTGGGGATTTTTACCTGCTCCAATTCTTTCTTTCAAAACAAGATCACTCCAAGGAATGTCCAAATCTTCGACATCCATGGTGAAATTGCCTCTGTCTTTATGGGGTTGACTTTGACTTTGACCACTAGTTTCAAACCTCTGAATCTGATTACTAGGCACTTCCATTCGTGTATCAGAAGACAAGACATATGATTGGGAATCCATTTTTGAGGTGCCCATGATGTTCTGGGCATATACTTTGGGCAGATGTGAGCTTCTGTCATGACCTTGACCTTTCGGGCGGAGGGCAGCTTTTGAAGGAGGTAAACGGGACCCATCATTGCTGTTGCTTGGACTATTACGTATTATATCAACATGACTTTTTTCAGATTGTTTTGGGTAGATAGCATCAACAATATCTCCATCACCTGAAATCATTCTTGTATTTTATTAATCACATATACATATGATAATTACACTTTTTATTACTGTGTTTTGGGTTTGTTTTTTTAAAAGGAACATTTTTGCAAAATAGATGAAATTACATTTTTAGTCCCTAAGTTTAGGGTTTTGTTTTTTAAAGAAACCTTCTTGCAAATTTGGTCCTTATTTGTGGGTTGCATAACAATTTTGCTCCGAGTCTCATTGAAAAAGATGATTTAAAAAAAAAAAAAAAAAAAAGGTAATGCTCAGGAAAACCATTATGTTATTTTTGTGTCTATTAAGGCTATGTTTGGTGTACTAGCTAAGAAGCTAGTTGTTAGCTGAAAAGCTAGCTGATAAAAATGGCTTTTGGTAAAAACTAGCTGAAAGATCTAAAATGACATAAAAGGTCATTAAGAAAAATATGATGTTTATAATTAATTAAGGATATATTTGGAAAATAAATAAATAACTCCTGAAAAGCTAGTCCAAGTAGCTTTTAAGCTAGCTGTGGCGTGCCAAACATAGCCTAAACCCATTATAATTTCTGGTTTTGGTTAAATTAGTGTTTCATTAATTTAACCAAACTCAGAAAATATAAATGGTTTTAATAAAAATAAAGTAACGAGTTTTTTAAGCATTTGGGGATAATATGTTGGGTTTTTTTTAACACATACTTTTTTACTATTTAGCTTATATTTATATTATTATTACATTGGGAGGGTCCCACCACAGCATAGAAAGACCTCAATTTTTATTTCTTTTCAAATATGATTTCATCAACTGTTAATAATTACTTAATTGTTTGTTTATTATGAATTATTATTACTTATACTGATTTAGGGTCCACATAAAATCTGATTTTAATTGTTAACGTTTGGTAACTAGGAGAATGTTAATTATTGTTAGTGTTTGTTGAAAATCAATTTGTTTATTGTTAATTGTTACTTGTTATTAATATTTTGTTAAACTTTGTTGAAAATCATAGTTTCATTCTTTGGTTTTGTTCATTGGAAGAAGGTTTGCTTATTGCTATTTATTGTTTTATTGTATTATTAATATTACATATGACATGTATATGTAGAAACATTAAATTATTAAAAAAAACTTACCAATAGATGGATCTTCAAATACAAGATTCAAAGATTCACAATCAGCAAAATACTGTTTAGCAAGTGATCTGAAATCAACCATGGGTTCAACTTGTCTAAAACGTGGGAACCTCAATGGGGAAGAAATTGAGATTGTTGATGGACCATTTAATAAAGAATCAGGCTCAGAGAGGCATCCTGGATTCCCTATTAAATCAACAAGAAGTTCCCTGCATAAAAATTAAAAAAAAAAATTAAAATTCATAAACTATGTATATATATAATGATTTTGAAGGCATCATATATAGTTAACCTGTCAACACCAAAACGAACAAGGCAAGAAGAAGCATCATCTCTTTTACAATATTTGCAGCCCTTGGCGATTCGACATGGTAAATCAATTGTATCTGCTAAAATCTGTTGAAGTTTTTCATTAAAAAAAAAAAAAAAAAAAATGTAAATACCCTTTAAAGGGTTTTTGTTGTTGAAAATATCAAAACACTAAGGAAACAAGCAATATAGTAAAAAGAGTGGATTACAAATCTGGTCATTGTGATTTTTTACGCGTTTTCTCTGGTTTAGGTGCAAAAAAGAAAATATTTTTCCAATTTTGGTTGTTATTTCACATGGTTTTGTGAACACTTTTGGTATCTGGGTCGTTTGAGTTAACAATTGAGCTATTATATTTGATAAAATGACCATTTTGCCCTCACATTGATTTTTTTTTATTAATTATTGTAGGGTCGAGCGGTGGAAAGATGGTTTTTGGATAATATTAATAATAAGAGTAAGTTACAAAAATGGTCCATGTGCTTTCTGACTTCTCCATGTTTAGCCCAAAATGTAAAAAAAAAAAAAAAATCGATTTTGGTCCTTTCAAGGCTTCATATTGATTTGGTCCCTGGAACTGGAACCTTGAAATAAGCACCAAAAAACTGAAAAAATCTTTCAATTTTGGACTAAACACAAAAAATAATAAAAAAAACACAAGGTCCATTTTTGTAATTTAATCTAAAAACAATGATGATAATAATAATAATAATAATAATAATAATAATAATAATAATAAATGGTCATTTTCACAAATTTAACAGGTGAGGTGGGTTGTTAATTTAAACAACCCAAGGACCAAAGTCCTAATAAAACAGAGTGAAATGAGAACCGGAATTGCAAAAAAGATTTCTTTTTGGACATAAACCAAAAAACAGCTAAACATAGACCTTATTTGTAACTTACTCTATAAAAAAGGAAGTGAAGTAGAGTCCTCTGCATATTAAGAGGGTGTTTGGGATTTCATTTTGAAGTTGAAAAGGACTTATTGACTTATGAAGGTGGGAAAAGGAGTTTTTAAAAAAAAGTGTTTGGATTAGCTTTTTAGTGGCAAAAGTCGATAAGTTAAAAAGTGTTTGGGTGAAAATTGTCTTTTGTTTGTTTTTTATCCTAATACGTTATAAGTCATTACAAAAAGCCACAATTTGTTACTTCTTGAAAACTCCTTTTCAAAGGCTAAACAAAAAGAAGTTTTAAAAGCCCTTATTAGATAACCAAACACTTTCTTTTTTTTTTTTTAACTTTTCAAGAAGTCAATAAGTTAATAAGGAGTTCTTAGATGAACACCCTCTAAGGTTATTATTGTAATAATAAAATAAAATATACATCTACAACATACTTTAAATAGTAGGGCCCGATGTCTGCAAAGGCCAACAGAGAGGCTACCCATTGGAAGTACAACAGATCCTAAACAATCTTTCAGATCCTCACTGCATTCCTTCCACATTGAAACCAACTCATCTTCACCACTTAAAGTTGTGCCCCTTGTAATAAGATAATAAAAATAAATCATAAGATTAAATAATAAAAAAAAGATGCATAAATTTCTCAAAGTGTAGTGTTTGGTATTATTATGATGGAACTGGAGAAGGAATGGAATGGAATCATACACTACATTGGAATGGTCTATTCCATTGTTCATTCCTTAGCTAGACATGTATTTTTTTTCATTGCATCGTGGAATGGGATAGAAAACTGCAATATAACCCATTTTTATTTATATATTAATATTATTGGCACAACTTTGTTGATATTTTTCACAATTTTTATTAGATTGGAATTTTATTTTCTAAAAAATACTAATGAGTTTATATTTGTTTAAAGTTCCGGGTTGATCTCATAAAAGACCTTATATTTTGTGTTTTTTCCGGATTAAATCTCGACTTTATTTTTTTGATGAAAAATACCTTGTATTTTTTCCGGTCCTTTTAGTCATTTTTTTTCGAAAAAACTTGTAAATGTGAGGGTTTTTTCGGAAAAAACTAAAAAAGTTGAGGTTTTTTTCAAAAAAAGAAAAGACAAAGTTGAGGGTTTTTCAGAAAAAAATGAAAACATACAAGGTCTTTTTTGGGAAAAAAAAATAAAGCTGAGGTGTAATCCGGAAAAACCCCAAAATATAAGGTCTTTTATGAGATTAACCCTAAAAAAATTTATAAATAAAAATTTGTTAATTGTAATTAAATAATGTATGGGTCAATTGCGAAATTACTTTTACCAACAAAAGGTGCATAAAAACCTTGAATACTTTTTTTTTTGCAAAATGACATCATCATTTCGCAAAATTCGTTGCATTTTCCCAATATAATTTCAAAATATAATTCATTTTTTTTGGTCATTCATAAAGCAATTTTGCAATTCACAATTGACCCCATTGAACAATTGATAATCATTTTCTTTTAAGGGTAAAAAGGTGACCACTTTGGTCATTTTCATGTTTATCCCTCTAAAGTTATGCATTACACTTTCACATGATATTATGAAAACTCATTCTATTCCTATAGGCTATAGGCCAACCTAACATGACAATGGAATGGTAATAACTCATTCCATTCCATTCCATTCTTTTGTAATTCCATTCCATTTCCATCCAACCAAACAAAACCTTACACAACAATAAACTAAAACACAAACACTCACCCCATTCGATTGCATACAAGCTTTGCAAGTTGATCAACAACTTCTAATGTAGTAATGCTATTACATGAAATGCTATGAATCCGATTTTGTAGTTCCCTAAGGCTGGGATCATTACGCCTATCAATCAAGATCACTTCAATTGAAGACTCAGTTGCAATATCAATGGCTTTCAACAACTCAAGTGATGGAATTCTTCCACTCTCTTGTAGATCACAGCACATCATCCATACGTATGGATCCATTCCATATATCAAGTAAAACCCATCAGGGACTTTGTCAAAGTATGACAAACACCCATTTGCCTAATACAATGTAACCCTTAGAAGTTGGAATAAGTCAACATGGATACTTTGAGCTTATATATATATAGTAGACTAGACACATAATAACAAAAGGTCAAATATGTCTTTTTGAAATTTTTAACAAGTGAATGGTGAAGATTTAAGTTAACAACTAGGGGCCAAAACCATAGAAAAATGAAACTTGGACAAAAATATAAATACCCAGGCAAAATCGTATGTATAAGAATATAAATACCTAGGCAACTATATTTGGGATAGTAATTGATTCATAGAGAAACAACCATTTGCCTAATACAACCTAACCCTTAGAGTTAGAATATACATAACAAAGTTACAAAGGTCAAAATGGTCATTTTCAAAAAAAAAAATTAACTGGAACAATTAGATTTAACAACCAGCAAAATGAGGCCAGTGTCAAATTTGCAACAAAAAATAGAACTTGGACCAAACCAGCAAAATGTGGTATAGCAGTAAAGCACAGGGACCAAAATTGTAATTTACTCTAGAAAGAAAGCATACACACAAATATAAACACCCAAGCAACTATATTTGGGAGAGTAATTGATTCATATGGTGCTCAAGGATGAGCTAAAGTGAGAAAGTGTGTGTGTGTGTGTGTTTATTATAAGGACGAAGGAAAAAAGAAGCAGAAAAAAAAAGTAACATGTTCAGGGTTTTATTGAAAGAAGAAAGAATTAGATTGTTCATTGGAGTTAACCATGAAAGTGATGATGAGAATGATGATTTGTTCCATTTGAGGTAAAATCTTTTTAAACCTTTATTAGTTTATTTATTTCTGACTATGTGTTAAAGATTGTGAAAGATTATATGGGATTAGTTTTTGATCCCAGATTCATGCAGTTAACACCAAAAGATGAACATTTTGATAGAAAAATTGCCAAATTTGGTCTTATACTATTCACTTACACCAAAATGATGTAACACTTTCATGTGTCATTTTCAGTCCCTCGTCTTTCATGTTTATTCTATTCCAGTTTATAATGTATGAATAGGTATATCCTAAATATAATAATTATTCATTATAATATTATGTTATATACTAAATTGACATTAATTAATCATAGATATATAAAAATGTAACTCGCATTAATAATATACAAATAATTAATTTGGTTACAATTTTGTAATAATTCAATTTATAAAGTTTTTACACTAAAAAAGATATAAACAAATAAGTAAAAAGAAAATAAGTTGAAGAGTGTTTTGTCAATCTATATAAATTTATAAAGAGAATATACTTTTTGGTGTAAAAAATGGTATAGGGTTGAAATGTAATAATTATTACTTGTAATATTATGTTATATTATATATGAAATTGATTTTAATTAATCATATATAATTAATTTAATATATATGTTTCGATATTATTTTCTTTTCATTTACTAAATGTTGCTTTAACAATATAACAACTAATTCAATTAATTATATATGAATAACTTATTTGGTTATGATAGTGTAATAATATAGCTTATTAAAATATTGTAACCAAAAGGATGCAAGGAAAATTTATAAACAGCTAATAAAATATTTGGAAATCTATAAAAGTTACAAAATAAAGAATCATGGAATATACTTTATGTGTAAAAAGTTAAAACATGAAGAGTTGAATCCACAATCTTATGACACCTAAGCTTTTAGACTTTTAGTACATAGCCTAATGTTCACAAAGTCAAAATGGTCAAACTTAGCATATAAATTGGGACTTTAGTAGTCATTCAGAAAAACAAATAATCTAATATGTCAATCACCAAAATTTGATCCCTCACTATACGATAAATTTTTTAAGTTAATAGACACAGGAGAGATGAAACAAAAGTATGATCCTAGTAGACATTTGCACATTGGCAAGAAAATCTTATGTTATCTCTCATGGATACCTACACATGTAAAAATTGACATAAGAAGTTTTTTGTAATTAATATGAGCCAAAAATATATGTAGCATTAATGTCAGATTATCTATCAAACCAAAAGAAATCGTTATAGGGACCTCTCTCACACTCTCCATCTATCTTAAGTATCTTATTTTTACTTGGATATGTGTGTGTATATGCAAGTAAAACTAAGATCTTCTCTAATTACTTTTATATATACTTTAAAACAATTGTAAACATCTCAAATTTATAAACATGGTACTTCTTGTATCATTGAACTTAGCAAGCATTTGTACTTCGCAATTAGGTAAACTCTTATTCGAGTTTGAGGCGAAAAAAATATTTGATATGATTACAATGTCAAGGTGAACTACATTTTAGGAAAGAAACAGAAAAAGGAAGAAAAAAAAGGCATGCTATTATACGAGATCAACATTTCTCTAATGTGAAATTAGATTACCAATCAACAATATCTCAGGCAAGATAGGCCATATATTTCTCTATAGAGGCATCAAAATTGTAGGTACAGGTTCACTGTTTTGCAAATATTGGTCTATAAAGAAAGTCGATCTCATGTCACATTAAAGCATTGTTAACCCCTTTATTCTACAGTAGCAGATTTTTCAAAATATCTATCCATGGCTTATTTCAGTTGAGTTCACAGTAATAATGTGTTGCACTTTCTTTTATAATATGCATTATAATAGGTCATGAAACCAAGAATCATCACAAGAAAACGTGATCTCAAAAAAAAACCTCTATGAATGACAAATATGCTATGCAAATTTCTGTCCTCAAACCTCCTAGGATCCTACCGAGAAACATGAAGAGTTCTTTCCATAAAGTCTAGTCGTACTCATAGCGGTTCATTCATGTATTTCAAGCAAGACTATATAACCAATTACCAAACCCAATCATAATGCTACGGGATTAGCAGTTAATATGTTTGCAAACTCAAACACACACAGAGATATCAGAACCACATACCCAGAATCGATGTGATAAACCTTCTGCAGATGTCGTAGAACCGGATGACCTCGACCCTGCGGTTTCTTCCGTCACAGGATCCAGTAAATTAGGATCATCAGCACACATAGCTTCAGACGAAAGCCGTAGCGCCAAAGCCAACTGCAATTGATAACTCTCCTCCGTTTGTTGTGCCCAACTTTTCGATGAATAAGACCCTCCCCCACCACAACCACCAGCAGTAGCCTCCGACGACTTCAACCTCAACACCTCACCACCACCTCCATCCGGCAAGTGACCATAAGCATCGGGATCACCACCTCCACTGTTCACCGCCGCCGACAAAGACGGAAGAAAGTAATCACCCGAAATAGAACTCTCTCCGTAACTACTCCCGCTCGATTGCCTCTGCAATCCACCGATCGAGGCCGGAAAGGCCGTTTGGCGAGGTTGCTGCATCCTCTGATCAGTTGTCATGTTCATCAAATCCCAATCAAATCCAGCTCTTTCGTTCCTCTTTTTTTCCCCGGAGTGAGAGTGGTGAGATGAGTCGTATGCGCCACCGCTTCCGGTGCCACCAGAGAAGATCGACGGAGGAGGAGGTTGCGGTGGCTGGAGGTGATCGTCGTCGGGAATCTGAGTCAACAAGGTGTAATTGGTACGTCTACCAGGCATTGCCATCTAGAACTAACAAAGTTAAATCGAATTAAGTTGTGTGATTCTCTTCGGTAATTAACCCTACAAACCACCAATTCAGTGTGTGGGGTCACGCGGATAAAAGGGGATGTTTCGGGTTTTCGCGGTGGCGTAATCTCATGGGAAAATTATCATCCGCATCCCATAGTTTCCGTAATCCCAGGTACATTACTTTTAAGAGAAAATTACACTCTAATAAACTAATGATTTTTCATAAAAAAATCAAATTAAACGTTTTTATAAGGAAATTTCTATATGTAACTCCAAAATGCTTATTGTACCCCCTTGTGAAAGGAATAGTGATTGCATACCACTCATGATTTGACAATTTATATGAGTAAGGGTACGTATAATAGCACTCTTTCGTAAAATAGTCACATAATTCACAAATAAGGTAGACTCGTCTACGGTCTCATCAAGGTCGTCTGTTTGTCATAACCGGCCATAACACGCCCTTGGTTCCGTTTGTGGGCTGCAGATTCGTGGCTACATCTTCGATTTCATATAACTCACAAATAAGGTAGACTCGTCTGCGGTCTCATCAAATGTAAGTTTTAACTTTTTTTTTAATTTCTGCATGTTGGAAAATTCAAGACAAATTAAGCAGTAAAAAATTCACATGAGGAACGAAACCGTATATAGACCTCATATGCAGTTTCTTTAGCCTAATCTGCAATTTTGTTCTTCGCGTTTTCGGAAGTATAGCCAAAACCATGCAAAGTAGTAGTACATAATAAAGGATAGCACATAACAATAAGAAAATCAAAAAAAAAATCGGATAATTTCCAACTTGACTTGAATGTTACTCCTCCTTGTAAATAAAACTCTTAAGCCTTTGAGAAGAAAAAAAGCCAATCTTTTGTCTTAAAGGAGAGTATGAAAAATATAAAGTTTTTATTCTTATTTTCTTAACACTATAAGAACTTGTGTCACATAAAGAGAGGGTCGAAAATTGAGAAAAAATGATCAACTATGAGAAAGATCCATCTCCTCTTATTTTATATTAGTCTTGGCTTTCAAGACCCTATGGCTTTTATGACAAAGTATGGTCTTCAGAAGAGAGTATGGAGTGTGTGACAATGGAGAAAACTACAAGCAACATCCATCCACCCCTTACCAAGGGGTGTCCTCGATCCAATAAGAAAGAGAGAGGAAATAGTGTTTAACACTCTTTCAAATTATATAAAATCAAGTCTTTATATTTTATAAAACTAAAACTTTTTAGTCCAAAAGATATACATGATTTTATATATCTAAAAAATTTTAGTTCGAAAGATATACATGATTTTATATAGCATTCCTAATGATATAACTTGATATTTTAATATTGAAATTTATTATTTTCATAAAATAATTATTTTCAAATTAATTGCAATAAATATAAATATTTATCATGAATCAAATTCCTATAAATATTCAATTTACTTCAAATTGTTATTACTGTGACCTTATATGATCATATGTCATTAGCAAATATCATTTTACAATGATTCTTCGGCATATAGATATTTCACTTAAAACCCTAGATTATAGGCTTTGAGTCATATTTAAAGGATGTGATGTCTAGGGTTTTTTCCACCCTCGGCCTCCATCACACTTAGAGAACCCTTATCAACCTTAGTCTCTCCTTTTTATTACTTGCACGTCTTTTGCTTGTTCTTGCATTTTGAAGGATAAGGAAGTGCAACGGTGAAACAAGGAAGCAACAAGCAATCGAAATCCAACCATTCGAGAACCTTCTTGATCATTAAAAGTCTTCAAGCTTGAAGCTTTATGAGCTTTTTTTAAACGGAACTTCCCTAACAAGGGTTTCCCGGCCAGTTTTCACGCACCGACTAATCCCCGCTGCAAACATAAGGCTATGTCTCATGTCATGGAGTCACTACAGACGAACCTCCATGACCACAAAGACTGAGTAGTGTTGGGATTTGAACATGGGTTGATATGTTATCCACCATATCTTCAACATTACTTACCAAGTCACCACAACCCAAGTTGTTAGCTTTATGAGTTATTGGTCTATATTTATGGTTTTATGCATGTTTTAGTAGTTTGGATGTTGTTTGGTTGGAGTTTGAAGAACTCCAGCCTTAAAGGTTGCATTTTATGACATCTGGACCCATAATGGTAAGAAGATGAGGATTCCATCTTGTCATTTAGTCCATGCACAATATTAAGAGCCCTTTTAGTCCCATTTCTGACCAAGACTTTGATTTATGTTGTTACGGGCATGCAAATGGATAAATTTGGAAACTTTATCCATTAAGACTACATTTGGATGTGATTTAAAGGTTTAGAGCGTAGGTCTTCAAGGATTAAGACCGTGGATGAAAGTTGACTGATCTGCCAAAATCACATCGCGAACTAAAGCTGATAGCGCCTTGACTTTTGAGCAAATCGCGACTATTTTATCGCCTATTGGTAGTTTCCCGGACCAGTGTTGGTCGCAGCGATATGACATGGACATTTGACCTTTTTACCAATTCTGACTTTTGGTCAACTGTGTTGGGTTTGAGTTCTGGAGGGGCACAATAGTCTTTTGCCCATGGATTGGTCATTTATTCGACCTAAACTCGATACGGAAGTGTAGTTGAGTATTTACCTTAATTGCTAAAACTAGAACTCGTTATTGTGTAACTTGGGGAAGACTTGATACCACTAGCTTGAGTTTGTGGATGTCATCTTGTCTTCTATTCATGTTAGTTCTCATGAACTCTCCTATTATGCAGATTATGTGATTATGTTAGCAAGTCTCACTTTTGGTCAACTGTGTTGGGTTTGAATTCTAGAGGGGCAAAATAGTCTTTTGCCCATAGATTGGTCATTTATTCGACCTAAACTCGATAAAGAAGTGTGGTTAAGTATTTACCTTAATTGTTAAAACTAGAACTCGTTATTATGTAACTCGGGGAAGACTTGATACCACTAGCTTGAGTTTGTGGATGTCATATTGTCTTCTATTCATGTTAGTTCTCATGAACTCTCTTATTATGCGGATTATGTGATTATGTTATGTACAACCACAAACAACCTCTCACAGGAAAGTGTGGTCGGGATGATCGATCCAACTAGAGAATAACCTCTTATAGGGACGTTCTGGATGTGTTGTGGCAGTATGTATGATCACGGATAGCCTCTCGGAGGGAAGTGTGATTGGATTATTTATGCTTCTCGGAAGGAAGTTCTAGTCGCATAGTGGTTAGGAATATGCTAGCATATGTTATGTGGTATATTGTAATTAATATGTGATTTATTACATGCAGTTTATGTGTTATTGTGTGTATTGCATATGATATGTATAATGTGTGGTCTTGGGATTACTCACTAAACCTTAAGCTTATAATTGCTACTTCATGTTTTTTTAGAGGAATGTTAGATGAGTGGATGAGAGGAAGTCAACATGATTGCGACATCTGGACATTTTCAAAGGCATGACATATATCTAGAATTTATTAACTTTATGAGATGATTTTCAAAACAATATTTCATGCTTCTGCAACATGATGGTATTATGTTTGATATGATGATGTAACGAGACATGTTTGATTTCAATAATTGGTTTTGATATAATAAATAAGTTTTTACATTTCACCTAGATTTATACTCTTATTTTCAAATTTTTTATGGTAGGTTTTTGAGATGTTACACTTCGCGACACAAATAGGAGTTGTGTCGTGACACGTCTACCGTTGACTTTTACAAGTTGACCATTGACTTTTTGACTAGTTTGACATTTGGTCAAACTTTGATGGAGATGAGCTTAAGACTATTCCTCACACCTTTTACCTCTTTTTTCTCCCTAAGGCTCTCATTTTTTCTCTTTATGGAGTTATTGATGTGTTAAATTCACTCTAGTCTTAAATTTATAGGGTCGAAATTACCGATGCTAGAATTTACTACACGACTTAGGCAAGTGTACCTAATTGAGTTGTAATATAGCAATGGTAAGAACGGATGTCGAACACTTGGGGAAACGAGTATGATTTACGTTTAGACTATTTGTCGCTAATTAACTTAAAAGATAAGTAACTTGGGGGAATTTTTAGTAACAAGGCAAATAATGAGAATTTTAACGATTAAAGTGTAAAAATAAATATAGAACAAGAATTGGTTTTTAAGAATCAAGAATGATAAGGATGCTTTCACTTAGATTTAATTCCACCTTTTAGTAATGAATGATTTATATTAAGTGCAATGGATATTATTAGTTATTTACCGATTTCTAAAATTGGTTAAAAATCATGATCTAATTTTTTACCGTTTTGATAATAAAAATAATTAAAAACAATGGTCATGCAATTAACAATTTTATTAACAATAATTAATTCGTATCATGCAAACATTTGATCAAACTATTAATTTTAGTGGTCGTAAAACTAATAAGAATCGTAAGTTGGTCATACGATACAAAATATACATGTTAAATTTTTAGTATTTTATTTTACCTAATCCTAGGATTTTGTCCATCACTAGTCATAAATATCAATGGTCATGAAAAATTTATGATTCAAGATAATATATTTAAATTGATCATTTAAAAATATTAACTTAGTTATAGGAAAATTAATTACAAAAATTCAACGTATAAAAATAAATGATCAAATATGCATGATAAAATAAATAACAATTAATATCCGAATAATATAAATCAAATCATATTTTCAAGGTTTCATTATCCAAGTGAAGCCACTGCAATCTTCAATTCCTTAGCTCTTTGACTCTTGAATCCCCAATTGTAGAAAATTGGTTCAAAGGTTGGAAGAAATTTGTGTATCAAAATGCATAATTGCAATGTCTTCTCTTTTCTTTCTTTCTTGTGGTGAAAAATGGTGATATTTATAGTAAAAATTTGAAGAATTAAATACCAAAAAGAAATAAATTGAGATTGGATCTAATGAAAAAGAATTCAAAAGAATTAAAAAAATGGGAATAAAAGGTTGGAAAGTTTAAAGGTAGTTAATTATTGAGTATTGGTTGGAAAGGAATGGGTTTAAAATAAGAAAAAGTGGGGAAAAAATGGTTAAAAACGGAATGGAATCGGAATTGGCAAATCTGGAGTTCAAAACGACGTCGTATTGCCAATGAACAGTACCGGATCGGATTTTTGGGTCGGAACTGGGTCGACACGCGGATCTTATGTGAGGTAATACGAAT